AACTGATGGTGTTGTCAATGGTCTAAGTGAAAAATCCCAGGACACCAGGGTGATTTGCATTTGCGATGCGGTATGCAGATGAGCTCTTTCATTATTTAGGGCTTCCTTTGGTTTCTGGATCCTTTAGCACAAGCTCTCCCAGCTTTGAAAAATGGCAATTATGCACTTACTTTATAAAAGCATTGGCATTAGCGACCCCTGGCTCAGACCCCAGATTAGACATGGCGAGAGGTTTGTGTGTTCAACAGTATTTTATGTGGATTGGGGGCATGTGTAAAGGGGGCAGAAGCCAGCCGACCTGCATGTGTGTATTCTGTGTGTGAATGGCAGTTGAGTGGTCCACTCACAGGACTAGACTGTAGGAACTCCTGAGTTCTAATCCTGACTCTGAATGACCCTTTGTAACTCTGAGCAACCCACTTAACCATTTATTGCCTCAGTTTCCCCATCTGTAAAATGCCCAATTTACAAGGACATATGAAGGTTACTAGGTTAGTTCAGGTTTTGCCATGTATTATCATGATGGGGAATTATATGTATGGCAAGATTTTAAAAAATGCTTAGCACCCAGCAGCTCCCATTGTTCCTAGTAGGGGTGTGTGTGTCTGGCTGGGGAGCTCTCAATTGTTCTCAGTGGGGGCTGTTGGATGCGGAGTGATTTTGAAAGTCAGGCCATTATTTTTACCATGTTGATGGTCAGTATATTTTCAGAATGAAGTATACAGAGTCAGCTCTGAGACTGTTATGGATTGATATTACTAAGACAATTGGTTTGGTAAGATTCAAGAAAGGTGTGGACAGAGATGAATAAGAATAGCACAGAATCATAGAACTGTCGGGCTGAAAGGGACCTCGAGAAGTCATCAAGTCCACCCCCCGAGCTGAGGCAGGACCAAGTAAACCCAGACCATCCCTGACAGCTGTTTGTCCAACCTGTTCTTAAACATCACCAGTGTCAGGGATTCCACAACCTCCCTTGAAAGCCTGTTCCAGAGCTTAACTGTCCTTAGAGTTAGAAAGTTTTTTCTGATATCAAACTTCAGTCTCCCTTGCTGCAGATTAAGCCCATTACTTCTTGTCCAACCTTCAGTGCACATGGAGAACAATTGATCATCGTCCTCTGTATAACAACAGCCCTTAACATATTCGAATACTATTATCAGGTCCCCTCTGTTTTCTTTTCTCAAGACTAAACATGCTCAGTTTTTTAACCTTTCCTCATAGGTCAGGTTTTCTAAATCTTATATCATTGTTGTTGCTCTTCTATGGGCTCTCTCCAATTTGTCCACATCTTTCCTAAAGCGTGATGCCCAGAATTGGACACAGTACTCCAGCTGAGGCCTCACCAGCACCAATTACCTCTTGTGTCCTATATATGAGACCCCTGGTAATAAACCCTAGAATATCAACCTGATTTGCAACTGCATCACATTGTTGACTCATCTTCCATTTGTCTTCAACTCAACCCTCAGATCCTTTTCAGCAGTACTACCACCTAGCCAAGTATCTCCCACTTTGTAGTTTTGCATTTGATTTTTCCTTCTTTCCCTCCTTCACACTTACCTTTATTGAATTTCCTCTTTTTGCATTCAGACCAATTCTCTAATTTGCCAAGGTCATTGAATTCTAATCCCGTCCTCCAAATTGCTTGCAACCCCTCCCATTTTGATGTCATCTGCAAATTTTATAAGCCTACTCTCCACTCCATTAGCCAAGTCATTAATGAAAATATTGAATAGTACCGGACAGACCCCTGTGAGACCTCACTAGAGACACTTCCAGTGTGCCAGCAAACCATTGATAACTGCTCTTTGACCATGTGTTTTCAACCCACTTCAATTGTGCACCCACTTTATAGTAATTTAATCTAGACCACTTTCCCCTGGTTTGCTTATGAGAATATCATATGGCATTGTGTCAAAACCCTTTCTAAAATCAAGGTATCTCATATCTACGGCTTCCCCCCATCCACTCGACCAGTAACCCTGTCAAAGAAGGAAATAAGGTTGATTTGACGTGATTTGCTCTTGACAAATCCATGCTGGCTATCCCTATTATCCTCTAGGTGCTTATAAATTGATTGTTTAATTATTTGTTTCAGTATCTTTCCAGTACTGAAGTTAGGCTGACTGGTCTACAATTCCCCAGGTCCTCTTTGTTCCCCTTTTTAAAGAGATGTACTGTTTTTTCCCTTCCCCCAGTCCCCTGGGACCTCCGCTGTCCTCCAGCAGTTCTCAAAGATTCTAACCGTTCTGAGTTTGTTCCATAAGTACCCCAGATGACTTTCATCAGGCCCTGCCAACTTGAATACTTCTAACTTATCTAAATATTCTTGAACCTGTTCTTTCCCCAAGTTTGGCTTGCATTCCTTCCCCCTTGTTTTTAATATTAATTGCGTTGAGTATCTGTTCACCATTAACCCTTTTAGTGAAGACTGAAGCAAAATAGGCACTGACCATCTCAGCCTTCTTCATATCATCAGTAATTATCTCCCCTTCCTGGCTAAGTAGAGGAGCTCTTGTCTTGCTCTCGCTTCTAATGTATAAAGAGCCTCTTCTTACTGCATTTTATGTCCCTTCCTATACATGACTCATTTTGTGCCTTAGCAGTTTCGATTGTGTCCATACAAGCTTGTGATCTTTTTTGTGCTCCTCCTTAGCAATTCATGCATGTTTATACTTTTTGTAGGATTCCCTTTTGCTTTTCAGGTCATTAAAAAGCTCCAGATGGAGCCATATTGGCCTTTGACTATTCTTACTGTCTTTCCTTTGCATTGGGATGGTTTGCAGTTGTGCCTTTAATATTGTCTCCTTGAGAAACTGTTGGTTCTCCTGAACTCCTTTATGCCTTAGAGTTTCTTCCCATGGGCTCTTGCATGCCAGTTCTCTGAGTCTGTTAAAGTCAGCTTTTCTGAAGTCCATTGTTCTTATTCTGCTGCTCTCACTCCGTTCTTTCCTTAGAAGCATGAAATCTCTCATTTCACAGTCACTTTCTGCCTTCCAAACTGCCTTTCACCTTCAGATTCACTACCAATTCCTCCCTGTTGGTCAGAATCAGGTCTAAAAGGGCTGCCCCCTGCTTATTTCCTTCACTTTCTGATACAAGAAGTTGTCCCCAGTAAAGGCCAAGAATTTATGGGACATTTTGTATTGTGCTATTTTACTTTTCCAACAGATGTCTGGGTAGTTAAAGTCCCCCCATTACTACCAGGTCTTGCATTTTGGTTATTTCTGCTATCCAGTCTATAAATGCCTCATCTACCTCCTCTTCTTAATTTGGTGGCCTATAGTAGACCCCTAATAGGATGTCACCCTTGCGTTTCCCCATTTTATCTTTACCCAGATACTTTCAACTGGTCTGCCTCTCACCCCCTTCTAGACCTCAGAACAAGTGTGTATATTCTTGACCTATAATGCAATACTGCCTCCCTCTTTTCCCTGCCTGTCCTTCCTGAATAAGCCAGACCCCTCTATATCTATATTATAATCATGAGATTTATCCCACCAAGTCTCTGGGATGCCAGTTAAGTCATAATTTATCTTATCGTACTAATACTTCCAGTTCTTCCAGTTTATTCATTATACTTCTTGCATTTGTTTATAGACAAATAGCATCTCTCTAGCCTAGATATTTCACTTCAGTATGTAGGCTTCTGTTGTTAAAACAGCCAGGAGAAAAATGAGTGTTGTGCCTAACTTGCCTCAGATTTATTTGCTAAATTTCATTCCAGTATATACCGAGGTTAAGAGGACAGGTCTGGCTGTAATTTCCCCTGGGAAATGCCCATATGACCAGCCAAAGCATTAGCGTGCCTTGCCAAGGCTGGCGGAACCTAATTAAATAACACTCATTGGTATGATTGTTCTAAGTGCTGCTCCCTTACTTCACTTCCACCTAAGTCCAGAAATGACTCCACTGCAAGGGGCAGAAGGCTGGGTGCAAAACTATGCAGAGACTCAGAGGTAGTAAGGAAAGGAGCCTTTAAGTGTATTTGTTTTCTTGGTATATATTCTAGAGGACTTTGAATGTGTACATTTTAAATGTGCCTTTTCCCCATCCCAGATGCCTCCACCGAGCCTGCATTCCTCTTCAGCACGTTCCTGGTGGAAGGAACTTTCCGAGCTGCACGTCCCAATTTGTGTGAATGATACAGTTGCACCTTCCCAGGCTCAATTAGCATCCGAAATCAGAGTGAACAACATGCTGTGACTGTGTGTGCTAGACAAGCTCAAGGATGCTGTGAAGCTATGCAACATTTAAACAAACAACCTTTAATGTGCAGCAGATTTCAATCCAAAGCTAATGCTGTTGAAACGCTCTGTGGGGTGGAGGGGAGGGGGAAGAGGAGGAAAGAACAGGGGCACTTGTGTTTATCAGGGGGTGAAAATACTGGACTTGCCCCTTGCACAAGCTGCATAGAGCTGTTTGGCTCATCATCAATCATAAGCTTGATGAGCTCATTCATTCAGTGCAGAGGGCTGGGAGACAAGGGTTTTGCTTTCTACTGGGCAAGGCACTTTTCTGTGCCCCAGTTCCCCCTCTGTACATTAGGGGATAATACTTACCTCCCCGCGGGGCTACGGTGTTCGATGAGTGTCCGTAAAGTGCTTTGAGAGGCTGGGACGAAGAGGCAGGCAAGGGGTTGTTATTCAAAAGAATAATCACATCCCCACGCTTTCCATGCATGCCAAAATAAACGTGTCAGCATGATTGAGCCAGGATTGAGCTTTCTAACCCACTGTGATTCCATGCGATGCGTCGATTTAGACCATCTTGCCTCTTTAAGGGGGACGTTTTAAAAAAAAAAGTGGTTAGACCAAAAGATTTGAACAAGTGCAGAGTGAGAAGGAATGGGTTCTTTAAGGAGGAGGAGGGAGAAGCGAGAGAGTGACAGAGAGACTCACACCAAGAGGTCCTTCCAACTGGTCTCTGCATTTTGAAGCCTTTTCAGTGACATCACTGTTCTTGTCTTTATAATAAAGGGGACCTAGGAGTCTGCATTCAGTCTGAGCTCAGGCAGATTAGCAGATTAGAAACAACTGCACCTCCCATCTATCACCACAGAACAGGCTCGCATTTTATTTCCACCATGGATTGAGGGGTTAAGCTTAGATAATTTAGAGATCAGACCTGTCTTTCTTTTTCTTTTGTTACTGGCCAGTCTTCTTGTGCTGGAAATATAAGATTTTAAATGGGAAGTTGGTAGCTTCTTCTGCCAGCCTGAAAAGAGGATTCCCTCAACTCCTAGAGGACACAGGTAAGAAACTAAATAATTCCTGATATTCTGCAGAGCTGCCCTATGGAGAAGGGGTGCTATTCTCCTGGTGGCTGAAATGGATGCAAAATCTGTCTCCCCTCGCAATATGAAGAAATAGATATTGTAGGTATTTTATGTTTCCCGGTAAGTGAGGGGTCATTGATCAACAAAGCAGGAAGAAACTCAGTGAAAGAATTTGCACTAATAATGTCTCAAAATCAGAACAAACCCCTGCCTGGATCAGACAAAAACATGCCCCAAATGTTGCAGGGAACTTTGAAAGCTCTATCAGATGAACATGATCTATTTCTACTTCCTCCAGGGTCCAAATCAGTTCACTGGAGCAACCGGTTAATGACAGGGCTCTGTATCATTCAGCCTGGGCATAGAATTAAAGCATGAGTGTTGGCGCTTGCTGTGTGAGCGGAGCTATAGCCTTAGATGTGGAAGGAGTCTAAGGAGACAAGAGAACTGCTTGTATTCTTGTACAGCTGAATAGGGCTCTGAAGGATGTGACAATGACCGCTCTGTGTTTATCGATTAGGCTTATCTCAGCAGAACATTTTTTCTCCAGGTGGTTGAGTGAGAACAGATAACTGTCTGCATGTCTTGATCTCCAGGCCACCTGTAACCTTATTCTTTGGTGCCGATGGTAGCGGTTCTGTTCCCAACGGGAGGGAAATGTGTGCATGCGGGAGATACTTCAACAAGAGGTGCAGCTTGGACAGTCTAGATGAACTCCTGAGTGCCCTGGAACAAGGCATAAGGAGGAGACAGTCACATGAAGGGGAAGAGGCTCCTGTCTGGTTGGCTTTGCCCTGCAGAGTGGGGTGTGTGGCATTCCCCAGGGGAAAGCACTGTAGCTCCAGAGAGTGGGGGAGAATTACACACGCCAGACAGTGGGGATCAGACTGGGATGGTCCGTGCCAGGAATTCAGCCATTTGGATGAGGTGCTGGGCAGACAATTCTTAGCACGTGGGCAGCACCAGGATGGCCAAAAAAGTTAAAGATCAATGGCTTGATCATGCCGGGGCCTTCTGCACAAGGGTGTGTGTGTGTTGGGGATGGGGGGTAAGGACTATCACACCCTCTGTGCCTGGCCTGCATTAGGGTCACATGGATTGGGGCCCTGGCATGCAGGGATGCTTCCCTGGCAGTAACTGGATAGCGAGTGGGCAAGAGGGCGAAGCCCTGGTTCCCCGAGGGGCCCATGGGAGCTGTCTGGCTGCACGGGGACTATGCCGCACCTGGAAAGGGCTCTCGCTGATGGCGCCCCAGCAGGCACAGGTGGGGAATGATGGGAGTCACTGTGCCACAGAACAACCTCTCTGAGGACCAGGCTCCTTGTGCATCCCCCCTTGCTCGGGGGTGTGCCTGAAAGTGCGACCCCACCCTCAGCTTTTAGGGGTGGCTGGGGGAGGGAGTTTGGACAGGGCTTACAGCAAGCGTCTGGAAATCTCCCTGGAGTGAGCCTGACAGCTTAAAACCGACACTCAGCACTGACAGCACCCAACAGCCCAGAACACGCCCTTTGTCCAGCCAAAGCTTTCCGGGCTTTCTCTCAGCCCAGAACTGCCCTCTAGTGCCCCTCAATAGGATGCTCATAGAGTTCCCACTGTAACACAGAGCTTTGCTCAGGGACAAGTCAGCTGGCGAATAAGAGACAGAGATGAAAAGGGCCTATTATGTCCCATGTAGCCCATCTCCTGTAAGGGGGCAGGAATCCAGTTTGTATTTTCGCTGGATGTAAACTTCGTAGAAAATCTCATTCAAACGCATGCAGGTGTCTATCCATCCATACACCACAGAGATACTGGGCTGGAAGAGACCTCGTGAGTTCATCGAGTCCAGCCCCTTGCCCTTGGCAGGACCAGATGGATCTAGCCCATCTCTGACAGCTGTTTGTCCAGGCTGTTCTTACAAGCCTTCAATGATGGGGATTCCACACCCCACCCTTCTTGGGAGCCTTTTCCAAAGCTTAACTCCCCTGAGAGTTAGAAAGTTTTTCCTATTATCTAACCTCAGTCTGCCTTGCTGCAGATTAAGCCCATCACTTCTTGCCCTACCCTCAGTGCACATGGAGAACAATTGATCACCATCCTCTTTATAACAACCTCTGATATATCTGGGGACTGTTATCAGCCCCCCCGCCCCAATCCCACCTTCTCTTCTTTAGACTCAACATTCCCAATTCTTTCAACCTTTCCTCATAGATCAGGTTTGCTAAACCTTTTATCATTTTTGTTACTATCCTCTGGACTCTGTCCAATTTGTTCACATCTTTCCTAAAGTGGGGTACCCAGAACTGGACAGAGTCCTCCAGCATGGCCTCACCAGTGCCAAGTACACTGGGATAATTACCTCCCGTGTCTTACACACAGGAACAATAGAACACCACTCTTGTTAATACAGCCCCCAAATTGACTCCTTCTGCACGAGAGGCACTCTAACTCCCCAAATGTTTTCTGTAGTACTGCTGCCTAGCTCCTTATTCCTCTTTTTGTAGCTGCGCATTTGATTTT